GGAGCTGGAGGCAGGAGCTGGAGGCAGGAGCTGGAGGCAGGAGCTGGCTCTGCCTGCCTGCAGGAGCTGCTGCCATTTTGTGTCTCACTCCACTCAGACTGTGTGATGAATTGCTGTGCTTTGCTTCTTGGGGAGGCTTTATAGTCTTCTTTTCTTTGTCACTGTCTTTAACTTGAAATAAAAGTCAGGGACGAATGAGGGGTTTGTGCTGAGTGTGGGGCAGTGTAACAGTGGTGACAGGTGCTCTCCATTTCTTGGACAATGGGCACAGCTTCACACCATAAGCCATTTTTATCCAGGGCTTGGACTTTTCTTGCTGTAGTATTTATCAGTTACCTATTTGCTACATTGCAAATCCCTTTCTTCTGCAAGATACTTTTCTGTGCTGCCAGATCTCTGCTCTGCCAGCCTCTCGGTTGGGGCAGCTTGCTGAGAGCCTGCACCTCCCATGGTTGGCCCCCAGCCTTTGCCCAGGAGGGACTCAGGTGGGAATGGAGTAACACAGAGTGTTGAAGTCAAGATTAAGATGTACTGGGTGACAGATACATCCTGAAATCACGTGGATGTGTCCCTTAGGACAGTGGCGCAGTGGGAGATGGCAGGAGCAGGAGGGATGGTGCTCTGAGGGCAGAGTGCAGAGCCCTCCAAAATCCCAGGTGTGGCAGGCAGGACTGCTGGGGGTCAGGTGCTTTGCCTGTGTTTTGAGGTGAGCTGACACTTTGCACTGTTCCCTGTACCATGTAGAGAATGCTGTGTAAAACAGCATTGCTGTCCCAGGCAGGCAAGTGACAGGAGGGCAGAATTTAGGGGACTGCAGGGGTGGCCTGACCTGGAGCTTATCTGCACTCTCCCTGCAGGGATAAAACTAAAACCTCTGGGGAAATGTCAAACAGCAATTGCTAGAGAACATGATGCTGGGAAAGAATTCAACCCTTGCCCCATAGACTCATTCCAAAACATATATTAAAGGTTACCCAGACAACCTTAATACCTCCAGAAATGTGACCTTGAAAACCACCTAGAGAGCAAGGAACTAGCAGATGGTCTCAGCTGCTGGCTGAGAGTGGTGCCCACAGAGTAACGTGCTTTAGCCCTCAGTTGGTTTCATTCACTCAACTGGCATCAGGTTCAGCTCAGAGACTTATTGCCCCTTGGGGGGGGGAGGGGTCTGTTGAGCCATTGATGCAGCATTGAAATATTTATTTCATAAGCAGCCACCAGGGAAACTAAATTTCCAAGCAAGCCAGCCCTGTGGGGGTACTCCTGAAAGGACACCTGAAGCAAATGTTGAGCTCCATGAAAAGCATTTTTTTGGTGATTATTTTATTGCACTGGGACCCAGGATGCAAAGCTGCCTGTTGCAGGAGTGCCTGCCTTCCTCTGGAAGGCAACAGCTAGTCCCTGGGCCAGGGACTTGCAATCTAATTTAAATATGTGGAAGTGGAACTGGGAAACTAAATCATCCCCAAAACATTCCTCAAACAGCAAAGACCTGAATTCTTTCTAGGGACCAGACTGAAACACCTGTGAGAATTCTATGCCTAAAATATTATTGTTTAGGGCATTGCCTTCACAAGGAAGGAAAACTGTAGAAAAATAGCACCACTTTCAAACCCTCCTCAAACCACTTGTGGTTCATCTGCCTCAGGCTTTCCAGAGGTCTGCCCTGCTCCATGAGCTCCTCTGGGGCACAGCAGGCTCATCCAGGGGTCACTGGGTTAGGGTCTGGGAGACAGGAACCAAGAGCCTGGTGTGTGGACATCCACAACCCCCTGTTTGTGGCCTGTCTTTATGGCTTCATCAATGAGAAACTCTTAGGAGTCCCTGGGACCAACCCCACATCATCATTCCCGCAGGAGAGGGACAATGGGGTCCCTCCACCCAGTTTGGTCTTGTATTAAAGAACTAAGTTAAAGCAGGAGTCAGACTGCAGGGGCTGCTCTGGGCTGACTGATGACAGTGCCATGGACAGCCAGGAGGGCTGAGGTCTGTCCTTGTGCTCTTGCTCACCTCTGAGGTCTTGGCAACCCATTAACCATGGCTTGCTTACTGTTGGGACATGGTGAAAAGGACTGGAAGCTGTTGGAAAGCAAAG